AACAGAAGCTCGTGGACTTGTGAAAAAGGGTTCCTTAGGGTGACGCTGGGGTGAAAGATAACCGTAAGCGAGGGCCAATTGAGGAAAAAGTTTGATTTCATTAGTGATGTTTTCAGTGTAGCCTTGAACTGGAGCGGACGTCGCGAGCATTGTACACACTCTCGATGCTGTTACGGGCGAAATTGATGAAAACCGTTGATCCTGTTGAGAGATGCTCCCTTCAGTGAGTATACATTATTTTCTTATCGTTAACGACCACGGATAGTTTGACAGAAATGTGGTACTCAAAATTCAATGCCTTTTTTTACAACACTGAATTCTTAGCCATTGCATTTTTTGCAAAGGTGTTTAATTTTCTTTTGCTGAAGATTTGTTTTGTCAAAAGAGCGAGTTGCTCGCCCTGCTATCGTTCAGGGACCTTCTGTACAGTGGCTTTTTCACTTGTCTGGCCTTATTCTTCGTTTTTTATTCCTTTTTCAGGAAACAGTCTTCACAGTTAGCCTTTGAGGCTGTTGAGCTTGATCCAAATTCCGGTCTAGCACATTCTTGCCTGGGTAATTCACTTTTCCTTGAGTTTTTCAACACCGGTCAGGTTAATGAGGATTTGCTGGTGAGAATAAGTTGCCTTTTTATATGCCTTATTTCTGTGGAATTCAATTAATTGTTTTAGTATTGAACTATTTCTATCGATCAATTGCCCTTTCGATCAGCAATCTTGGTGAAATGTTGTAGTATCAATGTTTTTTCCTCTAGAAACGAGCGTGCAGCGAATATCGTCTCGCTCTGCAGTGTGGAAAAGAATATCGCAATGCCGATTTGCATTTGAATGCTGGAGCTGCTTTCCGGTATGCTTGTTTTTTTCGAAATTAATGTCTTTGAATTATTGATATTATTGATGATGCGCAATTAACGTTTCTTGTTCCTATTTTGATTAGTTTTGATGAAGGTCACTTATCGGCGACCAATATTGTGCTTTATGTTGAAATTGACTATGGTCACCTGCCCCCTTTGTCTACCCCAGCTTACCGCAGCTATATTTCTAGCGTTAAGTGGAAAGGCCCGTGAAGTATTGCCTATCCTCTGATTTTAACCATGATGAGCTCCCGCTACGCTCCCAACGATTACAATCGGTCGATAAACATCTCATGAAAATTTTCCTTGCTAGTACTTTTCATTACTGTCCTTCGCTCCAGGTTGTTCTAACCACAAACAACTTTTCATTGTGTGTTTTCAAAGCAGTCCAATGTGTAATTTTTTACTACTATTGTACTTAACGGTCATGCTATGTCTCAATGTGCTCCAATGCACTTTTAATTAGACAACATGGTGTGGCTAGTTTTTCTAAATTCAATTCAATAGTATTCAGCTATGAAGAGAACTACGCTGAAGCATTAGCCAATCTTCGATTAGCGGTGAAGTATGATCCCAGTGATGTCATCGGTTCTCACGGACGTTTATCATCATTCACGCAATTTCTCGTCAATGTTGCATCGGGCATTCAAAATGCAGGTGACTGCGTGCTTTTAAATTGGCTATTTAGCGTCACTTCGTGCAATTCGTGAATCGATGGCTTCAGTTCGTATAATTTGTTTTCTATGACCAAGTTTGCTCAGTGTCCCTTTCAGCTTTCCACTTGGAAGTCAATTATGATTTTCCTCTGTTATCTTTTCCGATTACTGACCCTTTCGGAACCGAGATAACTTTTTTTGTAAACTACGCCAACCTTGTTGCGCTTTGCGTCAGTTAGACATCTACTGTCTTGAACATGCTGCTAAGGTTCGCCTATCTACAGCGATTCCATCGAATCCGTGCCGCTCACTTCTCGCACGAATCTACT